TGCCCTCCACCTGGGGTCGCTCCCCACCTGCCACACCCCCCCCCACCAGAAATCAAAGCCAGCCAGCCAGCCAGCCTTTCTGCTCAGCCCACTGGGCTTATCCGACTGGAAGCAATCCACGTGCCTGCTGCAGCCCAGGACAGAGGGGCTGGGTTAAACCCTCGATGCAATACACTGCTGTGAAGCCAGCCAGCTGCTGTTCATACTGTGAGTGGGGCTCTTCTGTGTCTGGTTCCAGCCATCGGGTTTAGATGTGACCTCTAAGCTTTTGCTTGCCAAGGCAGAGCAGGTGGATCCCTGAGCCAACCTTGCAAAGAGAAGTCCCCTTGCTACTGGCCACATGACTCTTCTCCCGGGGGCTGGCTGCTCGGTCCTGGGGGGAGGGGAGGTCCTGCTGCTCTCAGAGGGCCAGGTGTGGGCAAGGAGCCATCAGCTCCTAGGGTCTGTGGCTCAGGGGGTCCCCTGGCTCAGGGTCCCCTCCTTTCCTAATGTTGTTCCTCTGGTTTTCTGAGCAATGCAGCTATATACAGTATATACACCATTTGCTCAACAATCAGTGCAGAATTTTATGAATGTTCATTTAGCCTCACAAACCTCTGACCCAAGGAAACACCCCACAGTGCTTTGGCACCTGCTTTCCAAATTTTCTGAAGGGTCACAGCTTCTAAATGTTTGGTGCTTGATCTTCAATGTATGGTTGGAGAAAAGGCAGGATTAGCAAGTGACCTACAAGCAACTTGCCCAGCTACAAAGAAAATACAGTACAGCCAGGAAGACACACCTTTCTGCCCCCCTCAGCCCAATGCCTGCGTCCTCTGCTTGACTGCATTAGCTGGTAATACCCACCACCATGCCTGAAACCCACTCACTTCCAGAAGAAGTCATGGGTAGCCCTAGATGAATGGTGCCCCATGATGCTTTTTACAAAAGAAAAACGCAGACAAGGCAAGATGGCACATTGCTCCACCCTTTTCTTTTAATCTACCAACCCATGCTAGCACATGGCACAGTTCAGACTCATCATACACCACACAGTGGTATAATCCCACTTTCCTTGACAGCTGAACTTGCTAGGTGTAGTGGAAGCGAGACAAGAATTTAAATGACACCATGTATTGGACCAGTTTCTGGGGAGCTCTTCTGTTCCAAGGCAAAGTACCAGCAGGGCAAAGAACGTAAAGATGATAGCAGGACCATACAATGTACTGTAAGAGGAGAAGAGCAGAGGGGAGAAAGCTAATATAAAAGTAGCTGTAAAGACCATGAAAGTTTCACGTATCTTGGCTCAAGGGAGTTGTTTCTAGCTGCCAGCCACACAATCAGCCCTGGCCAGGGCCGACCTAACACTTCCATGCAGCCCATGGGTTGCATCTGGTCACTTTCTATTTGTATCTTGCTGCCTGTGCCACCGAATTTCCAGGCACTGGCTCAGGCAGGAGGACCCTATTTAAATGGCTCATGGCTTCCGGCCGTGGTGCTGCTCCAGCAGGGACCAGAGCCCTGAGCCCTTTAAACAGCTACAGCAACCCCGGACAGCTGCCAGGAAATGCAGCAGCACGGAGTCTGGCAGCCATGAGCCCTTTGCTGTGTTTTTCATTCAAAGCCTCTGGCCCCAGACAACTCTAGAGGAGGGTAGTCCACAGCCCCACCCCTTCCACCTCAGACCCCAACTCTTCCAGGGGTGGAACCAGCCCATGTCAAGGTCCCAAAATTCATTAAGTGCCTCCCCCCCCATGAAGTTCCCACCCTGGCCTACAATTTTAAAGTGGGCCCCCTACGTCAATAAGCAGATTAGGACTGTGTCTACATTGGCAAGATTTTGCACAAAAGTGGACGCTTCTGCGCAAAATCTTGCCATGTGTCTACACTGGCCGCGAGTACTTGTGCAAGAACACGGATGTTCTAATGTATAAAATCAGTGCTTCTTGTGCAAATACTCTGACACTCCCGCTCAGGGATAAGCCCTCGAGCAACTGTTCTTGCGCAAGAGGCCAGTGTAGACAGGCAACATTAATTTCTTGTGCAAGAAAGCCCGATGGCTAAAATGGGCTACACTGGCATTTTACATCTCTTGTGCAAAGGCACATGCCAGTGCAGACACTCTCTTACTCAAATACTCTAACGCAAAAACTCTTGCATTAAAGAGTATTTGCGCAAAATCTTGCCAATATAGACATAGCCTAAGAGTTTAAGGCCACAAAGGACCATTATGTTAACCTAGTCCAATGTTCTGCCCAACAGATCAGAGTGTATCCAAAATTCCTGCACCCTCGCCCTACAACCCATACTACACAGCAGGACTGACTCCCAAACTTGAAGGACTCCAACTGAAGAAAGTCTCAAAGGTGTAGCCGTGTCAGTAACTTTAAAAACAAGCAGTGCTGTAGCACTGTAGGGTGCATCTACACTGCACCCATAGCTTGAAATAAGCTATGGAATTTGAGCTACGCAAACTGCTTAGCTTATTTAGAATTAATTTAGAAATAGCTTATTTTGAAATTTGGCTCTGTCTACCCAGCACTTATTTCAAAATAAATCACTTTTCTGAAATATCCCTTACTCCTCATGGAATGAGGTTTACAGGACTGTAAGAATGAGCCCATTATATTTCAAAATAATGAGCGCTCAAGAAACCCAGAATAGCTATTTCAGGATACCTCTGGTATAGCTGCAGTGTAGATGTAGCCTTAGTGACTAACAAAATTGATTAGATCTTGAGCTTTCGTAGGCAAACCCCACTTCATCAGATGAGGAGAGAAAATTACAGAAGCCAGGGTATATAGAATAGCAAAAGTATCACCTGTCAAGTATAGGACCAGTCTTATTGAAGCTAAGTCAGGCTGGCTATGTCTCACTGGGTACAGCTAGATTGGGGAAGGGCAGGGAAGGTTGGGATACCTCCAGTATCCTGAAAAAAAAACAAAAAACAAAAAACCTCTGCCACATCCAGGGAACATGCTTGTTCTGCTTTTTTGGCAGAAGAGCAAACACGCTATTTCAAAGTCTAGCCATACCCATTCATAGAATGTGATGTGGAAATGAGAATATCAAAGGTGGGGAAAATTGCCTTTGTAGTGCATTTACCAGTTAAGATCTTTTAAATCTATTACCAAATGTCCAGGCAAGCAAAAATGTTCCCCTACAAATGTGTTACCATTCTGCAGGATTCTGTAATTTCCTCTCCACCTCATCCAAATGAAAGCTCATGACCTAATCCATTTTTTGAGTCTCTGGCAAAGGGAGAAGGGGGCAAATTACAGCCCACAGGCCACACCCAGCCCACAGGAGCCTTCTATCCAATGCCCCAGCTCCCACCCATGGAGGTTGGCCACTGGCCCCTCCCATTCTCTCTCCTTCATAGCTTCAACTCACTGTGCCTGCAGAGCAGATGCTTCTGGTGGCATGGCTACTTCTGGCAGGGTGACGTGGCAGTAGAACCACCAGGCCTGTTGCTGTGGGTGGGAAGCAGTAGAGATTGTATAACAGGCAGTTTCCTCAAGGGGCAATTGGGAGCTGGGCCATGCCTGGTTATTTCAGGAGGCACAGCTCTCCCCTATCCTTCCCTGCCTGGCCCTCCATACAATTTCAGAACCAAAAGGTGGCCCTCAGACTACCCCCTCAGGTGACAGAGCAGCTCCATAGGTTTCCAACAGAAGAATTTACACCACTTCTCTCCCACCCCTCCTTTGATAACCAGTTCTAATGTTACTACAGCAACAAACATTCAATTAGTGTCTTATTTCCTATTTGAATTTTGCTGCTGAATTTCTAGCCCCTAGTCTCATTAGGCTGTTTTAATCTAGCCAATCGAGAGCTTAGAGCAGGTATTTTACATGGTCCCTCCGGTCCAGACAGCCCGCTGACAAGGTGTTTTCTGGGGCTGTACAAACAACTGCCTTCCTAAGAAATGTTAGCCAGACTAACAGTACCACTCTCCATCAGCATAGCTGCAGCTGCACAGCAGGTTGTGCCAGTGAGGGTGGCGTGGTGTTTACTTCTCCCCAACACAATGCCCTGCCCAGTGTAGCTATTGCTGGTATTTTCAAGAGCAGACAAAGCCTCAGGTAATGCTTATTGGATCAGTTTTACCTTCTAGATGCGTATCTGAATAGTTTGGAAGAGAAAATCATGTGGGCTAAACATAGATGTTGAGGCTCTTATGCATCAGTAGAGCACTCAATTAAGACTGCTCCCTGAATAGGTGCCTCAGGGCACCTATCAGACTGCAAACACTAGACCCTAGAGCTGTACCATGGTAGCCACTGATTGTGTGGGGCTAGTTCACTATAATGGCTATTGCTTCAGAACTGGTGAGACACCACGGCTCTAGAGTAAACCAAGTAAGCACACCTTTAAGATATTCGAATGACAGTTAACACATTGTATTCTCAAAAGTTTCAGAGGGGTAGCCGAGTTAGGTTTTTACAAACCTGTAACAAACTAAAAAACAAATAGGTTTAGTAGCACTTTAAAGACTAACGAAACAGCCCACAAAAGCTCATACCAACTACATGTTTTGTTAAAATGCTACTAAACTATCTGTTGCTTTTAAATTGTACGGTTTTCTGTGGTTCTGAAACTAGCACACAGGACTGAGGCTAACACATTTGCAGGGTGAAGTGTGAAGGCTTCCAGTACAGAGACCACACTAAATGATACATTAGCTCCTTCTGGCCTTAAAAAGTACTCACTGCTCTATTGCCACCTTCTGGCCACAAGTTTTTTCATTGTAGCAGAAGTACAAAGTTTACCTCATCTTTAAGAGTCAGCTTTTGCTACACAAGGCAACAACAGGAAGGGGGGGAGATGTCCAGACATTCCAGGTGAAGTCAATAGCTCCAGATCTAATCAATCTGCCTCTAGGAGCTCAGATGAGATGCTAAGGTAGGGTAATCAAACATCCCTAATCATCAGCATCTGCCTGGCACTTCCCTCACAAGGATGCATATCACTTTTTTAAAAATTCTGTCAGTGAAAACCCATTAATCACTCTTATGATTGCACACTTGTAGCTACAGTATCTTTTGCACAAGAACAAGGATCAAAGGGAACGACACCTCAACCCATATGCACTTACATTCAGAGAATTCACACATTTCCATACTTCAGTTTGTGGCAGCTACATGTAGATTAAGAGGCATCTAAATGAGACCAGATTTAAAGTACCTAAAACATTTATAATCCAGAGATCCCACTTTCCACTGTGCTCAAAAACTTGTAGATAGCCTGACACTAAATCCAATGTTAGGAATGGAGATAAATCATGCTTTCCTGTCTAACAAAATGAGGTTTCAGAGGGGTAGCTGAGTTTTTTCCAGTTACAGACTAACTTAAACAACAAATAGTCTAGCAACACCTTAAAGACTAACAAAACATGGTATCATGAGCTTTCGTGAGTACCACATACTTCTTCAGATGAAGTTGGAGCTTGTGAAATCCATGGTTGAAAACCTGTAGATTAGTATCTACATTAGTGCAAACATACAGACATGACTCCTTAGCGGGATGCTCATATATTATATTTGCGATTGTTGAACAGCCTTAAAATAGTTTCTGCTGTATCATTTAAGTGTTACTTTTAGTATACTCCAGTATGCCAAATAATTTTGATACATGACCCACTTAGAACAGATTCTCCAATGCTCACATGGGGAAGCAGCAATGCCACCCCATTATTGTTTGCCTGCTGCAGTGTTTGAGCTGCGATCTCTTATTTGAAAAAAAGACAAAAAAGAGTAAACGTATCAATGATACACCTCTATAAACATGTGCTTGAAAGAAGCTGACAGGAAAAATTGACATTTATGGATAAAGTGTCGTGGAAAACAAGGCAGCAAGACTCTGTGCTTTGGATTGCCTTTTGTTCTCCTCCGCTGAGGCTCATGAGCATGTCTCCCAAACCCCCTGCAAGATGAGAAATAGTGGCCCAGGGCATATACAAGAGGCAGGTTTAAATGAGAGAAAATTCATACCTCTTAACTTGAACTCTCAGAGCAATCTAATGCAAAGAGTTAGATTTAGCACGCTGAATAAATACTAATCAATTTCTCTTGTTAGGGAACAGCTTAGTCGTATTTTAGAAATAAGATCTACTTCAGTTTATCCCATAGAATCAAGAGTCAATCTATTAAAAGGCCTCTCTTGCAGAGATCACCTAAAACATATAAATTAAAGTTTTTACTGCAAATCTAAAAAAAGCTATTTTCAGTGCCACATAGAACAACCTTCAACTCCTAGATACTAAGAACAGTTGCATCTCAGGATTTGCACTGTGAACCCACAAATCCCAAGATAAAGAGATCAGGCCAGATTGGTGTGGTTCTCTGCCACTGGGCAAAACCATGGCCACCGACTGGTTCTTAGGACTTACAAAATTAAAGTCCTGACTCTGACACTTATTTTCTGCCAGTTAGTTTAAGGGGGGGGGGAAGAAGGGGAGAGAAGCATTAATCTTAGTTGCTGAAATGCGCTTAGAGGAGTCTTCACTTCAGCATTGCTGTGTCCTGTTAACTAGGGGTGTAAAAATCTCCAAAAGTTTATTAACGGAGAACTGACAGATTCACTCCAAAAGTTCGAAGAAAAAAGAAAACCGGGGATGAATACATTTCCACAGAGAACTTGGGAGGCAAAACCTTTGAAGACCTACACTGGTCAAAATAAAAGTCTCCACATTACACTGTCTTTTATGATTTTATTAAGATCCTTTCATGGGCCAGTGTCCACTTCTCATTCCAAGTGTTGAAAACCCTAAAATAAAACAAAACACTTTGTGAGCACTAATTTCAGTAAGCACCGTAAATTTATTAGACATCCTAAGCCAAAATTATCCTAAGTCCTCACTGGACTGCAAGCCATTCCCAGACAAGTTACAGCCTTCATATTACAAGTTAAAATCAATGTATTGTTGTTTGTGTTCCAGTAACTTCTACCAGGGTGAATAAAAATAATTTTTTTAAATAAAAAATCAGATTTATTTAAATTGGAATTGTATTTAAATGGATTTTGATTTGTTTAAAATTGATACTAAATTTCTCATTTAAAAATAAGGTTACAATTAGATTCTGTGTCAAACATGCTGCATACCCACACACAGTCTCAAAAATGAATTAGTGGCTCTGTACAGCCTAGCAACCAGCTGGTCCTTAAAAGTTCTGGACCTTGTTCCTGTTAGTCTGCTGAGAAACATGTTTAAAAGTCTGAGGGGTAGCCTTGTTAGTTTGTAACAAAACAAAATTAAACAGTGAATGGTCCTGCAGCACCTTTTAGAGACTAACAAAAAAATACAGATAGTATCATGAGTTTTCGTGGGCACAATTCACTTTGTGTCATCTGAAGCAGGTTGTGCCTAAGAACACAAACAATCATATAGGAAAGGACAGAGGCAGCATAAAAAGGAAGAGAGGAGTGGACTGGAAAGAAAGAGGAGTGGACTAGAAAGAAAGAGGGAAGACATTATTCAACACCAGAGATGTAAGCAGTCGACTTACATGGCAAGCCTCTGTATCAGAGTCACTGATTTAAACAGCAGAGCTGCAGTGGGGGTAGCTCCCAGACAAAGTGTGAGCTGGGACTGAGCACCTTCCCCATCAACTAATTGTGTAGTTGATAAAAATCCTATCAACTATACAACTAGTTAAATACCTGATTCTTAATATCCCTATTCAATACACACAGCTCACACTTTTGCCATAGAAAAACCATCATGGCTTCTGGGTGCAAGAGAGCCCTCTCTGGGAATATTTGAAGAAATCACATGTAAGCATTGCAAGAATGAAACAAGTAAAACTGCTTACTAGGAGAAAATCATGTGGATGAAGATGTAGGTATGTCTGAAGAATAATGTGGATAAACTCTGCAATGCATCATTCTTCAAGACTCTCTCTGCCTTTTAGTAAAAGTGTGGTTTGACAAGTTAATTCCCAAGCTGTTTGCTATGTTGGATGCTGCTAAAAAAGTGTAGTTTATCTAATCTTTATGGCTTGTTTAATTAGTTAACTAGGTTTAGAAGCTATCACCCAAGCATACAGTTCGGAAAGCTGCAATAAAAGAAATCTAGAGTTGCCAGTTGCCACTATCTTTTCTCATTTTATATTGCATAATATATGGCTCTTATTTTGGAAGATCATATAAATCTATCCCAAATATACCAGCGAGAAAGAAAAACAAGGACAAAGGTCAGGGCACAGAATCACTGTTATAACATCATGGGAAATTTGGGGCAAGGATTTCCAAGAAGTTTTTTGTGGGAGTTTCACCTTTAGTGAATGAAGCCTTATTAACAGAGTGTTCAATAACCCTTCTCAGACAAATGCCTCTAAAGTCATCAGTTGAAGACTCAAGTCCAAGGTCCTGAAATCCAGGATATAAAACATAACATGGCACAGGACACTTGGACAAAGAGGTCTTCTTTCAGACTCGTCATCATATCTTCATGGAAGGGCTGATATTTCTGGCTTAGTAACACAGCAACATGTAGGGAGTTACAGTTCTCACTCATCACAACGGCCTCAGCCACCACAACACTAGCTTCCTGACTTACTGCCCTTACTTTCTATCCATCACCTCAGACACTGCACTGCAACAAGTGACCTTGCAGCCAAATCTGGTTGCACTATAGAAATGGAGGTAAGCAAATACATAGCCACATGATGGTCTTTTCATAAAGGAGTGAATAGGTCAGTCAGTGCTTCTTTGTATCAGCACATCACACCTTTTTTCCCCCAGACTCCAGAAGATCAATTTATACTATGAGGAGTGGTAGCCCTCTTCTCTTTGTTGGAATAAAAAGGATTTCTGATGAGGACCATATAACTTTCAACCATTTCAGAGGTAGAGAGCAAGGTCACTTACCATTATGCAGTGGGAACTGGCTGAGGCATGGCTGGCTGTTCTGGTTTGCCACCTTTCTGCTCTGAGATAGGAGTGGTAGGTAAGATCTCTTCCTTGGGCTCCACAATGCTGACATGGTCTGGCAGGGGCTTCTTGGGTCCAATCTTTCCACTTGGGTCCCACGGCAACATAATCTTCACTTTAATACCAAGCACACCTGAAAAAACAATGCATTGTTTTAACTACTCACTGCATTTACAAGATGTTCCATATGCACTTAGATGCTGAACAAGTCCTAAAACGCTATCATGTTTATTCAGTGAAAGCTTTCACCACTCAAACATACACTTCTGTGCTAAGTTATAAAATATTCTCTGTATCCCTTCTCAGACAAATGCCTCTAAATCAGCCAATGAACAGGACACTCTGCTAAGGTACCCTAAGCACAGTACCAAAGAACATGGCACTGAACAGGCTACACTTACACAAGAAATGCCCTTTCTGACTCGTCATCGTATCATCACTGAAGGGATATCAGGTAAGCTAACTGCTCTTGTGTCATATTGAAGGACTGTGTGCTGACATGTGGCAATCACTTGAATACAACCTGACTAAAAAAAGTTTACATTCTTTTAGAAGCTTTAATTATATACAGGGCTTGACAAATAATACAATCTACTGCCCGTGGCGAGTAGATTGTAACCCGGAAGAGCCAGGTTCGGGCAATCTGCACATGCGCAGATCGCCGGACAGTGTGGCTGGCGAGCAGGGCTCACTGCGGTTCGGCAAGCCCTGATATAGACCTGAAAGGCTTCTTAAAAATATTTTCCCTTCTGATATTTTTTCCTATGATAATAAGCACAAGTACCTAGGCTTGCATTTTGTTTCTGCCAGGTGCCCCAGGAGGATAAGAGATCTGGGATGGGAACACTCTGGTTTCATTGGTACTTCATGAACTCAAGTCCCAAATGTTTTGCAGGAATAGGGCTTATGTAGATAATAAACAAGCTTAGAGCAGTGACTTGCAATCCCTTTCCTCAGTCAGATTTCAGTCTTTCCAACTCCTCTAGCTTTTCAGTCATCTAGGATGAGTATAGTGCCACTGGAAGCAAGTCTCTCGGCCCATGGAGTCAAACTTGTATCAGCAGAGCTCAAATTGGCACAGTAAAAATTGTAGCATGGACATTATAGCTCAGGCTGGGAGGAGAGGCTCAAACCCATCTGACTTGACCCCCTTGCCCCAAAATTTGAAAGTTGGGTTGCAGCCTGAGTAGCCATATGTACATTGCTACTTTTAGCACACTAGTTCAAGTCTGCCTCCCCTGGCTGCAGGTGGACTGATCAATCAGGGCAATTTAAATAGTGATTTATTCACCAAGTGGAAAGTCTTGATTGAAAGAGTAAGTTTTAAACAATTTTTCCATTTGTACTTCAGTTATCTGCAACAGAAAGGTGCGCTCATTAGTTAATGTAAACAAGCCTGTATTAAGGGCTCCAACTACAGCTTTTCCTACCTAGAAGGTGAAACCACAACAATGTACAATTAAGAATGATTTAGCTTCTAGTTTCAGATTCTTAACTATACATTTTCAGTATGGTAGTAAGTGGAATGATCTTATTTAACTTTTTGCATGATTTGCATCAAGCTGCATCAGAATGGTAAATGGAATTTAAATATCTAACAGCATATAACATTTATCAGAATGTTACACATTTATAAGTAAAAGATTTATTAAACAGAGGAATTAACTTAGTGAATCACAGGTTATTTCAGGTCAGCCGAGGGGAAAATTTCAAATATGCTCAAATGAGGTGTAAGATTTTTTAAAGTGGCAGCCTTATAAATTACTTTGCCAGTTTCTTGCACACCAGTAGCGCACCATTCCTAGGTCCCCCACAGGATCAAGAGCTTAGCATTGTTCATTGCTAGTTATGGCAGGCTTAAAGCTTGACCTCAAAAAGTAAACATTTCTCTAATTCTCCCTATATAGAAAAAGCACCTTTAAATTCAAATTACTTATGGATTCAGCATATTTTTATTTAAATGTGAAATTACAATAAGTTTAGGCCTTATTTTGTATTAAACAGAATTGCAAAAACATTCCAACTAACTGAAATAAAAATCTTTTGTTTTTATCCACACTGCAGGGCTGGGAGGTTCACCCCTGAATGCACTGTGGACACAGCTTTGTAACACAGGTACTCAAACTGGGACAGCAAACTGGTTTGCCTTGCCTTGCCTTTCCTTCTGGCTACAGGGAGTTCCAAAACTTTGTCCTCACACCAGGTCATCACATGGAGCAAATCCTTCAATAAAAGTACCTAAAACAAACCTCGGTGTTTGGAGGCAAAAATCTTTAAGACTCCTTTACATCTTGAAGCAAGGAGGCCTATTTTCCTACTTCAGGTCACTTTTAAGGTCCATTTCTGACCATCTAGCCTTACACCAAAAGGCAGCAGAGTCTAGCTGACTAGAAAACCTGATTGCCACTTACAGTGTAAACACTGACAAATCCCACTTTTACTCCATCTGCATAATTGGGATAATATTGTCTGACCTATTCCGACAGGGGGTTACCAAAACGATTTACACAGCACTGTGAAAATGGATGTATTTTCTGGAAATTGGAAACTCTGAATATATTTGTATGCATATCCAAGGTGACAACTGCTGATAGGCAATGCTGCTACCGGAAAAGAAAGCCAGCTGACATGCTGACCTTGGTACCATACTTTCAAGCATCAGTCATAGCATGCTAATTGGGAATTTCTGGCAGCTGAAGGCAGTTTAACCAAGAGTACATGATGCTCCATGCTAGACAAAATGTGTGAAAAAAGATAGCCCCAGTCTGTAAGAGCTTGTACAGTAGAATCTCAATTAACCGACCTAAACAAGACTGAAGGATGGTCGGATAATCGAAATGTCAGATAATACGGAAGATACCTTGCAGAGTCCAAGGTATTTTTCCCCATCAGCTGCCGCTCGGCTGGTTCATAGGGAGCTGCACTGCCCCTGACCTCCCCTATCTCCCCCGGCCAGTCGCGCTGCCCCGTGGCTGGCCAGGAGAGATAGGGGAGGTCAGGAGCAGCACAACTAGCTGTAGAGGATGGGGGAGATCGGGGCGCCCCATGACCTTCAGGGGGAAGGGACAGCTGGGCTCCGGCATCCTGCCACATGGCCATGCTCCCTCTTCTCTCACCGCCTTTGTCTCTGCACTGCCCAGCGCCTTCCCTTCCGTGCTCTGCCAGCTCCGCCACCTGCACAATTGTCTTGGGCGGCCGCAGGTAGGTCGGGCAACACAGAATATCAGATAAAGGAAGGTCGGACAATTGAAATTACTGTAATTTCAAAAGACAAAACAGCACTACAGGTACCAATAATTAGCAGTGGTTAGAGCTAAATACTCTGTACAACAGAAAGTACACTGGAATTCTGGAAAGGACCACTCCTGTAGCAGTTGACAACAGGGAAGCAGCCAAGCAGCAGCAGCATGCCAACAGCCTGGATTGTCTAGTACCAAGTACTATAAAAAGGAGCCAGGCAAATACAAGGGAATACGTACTCTGAACACTCACCCTGCCTGAGAAGGACATGGCGCACAGCTGTATCAACGTAGTAGTTTACAGGGTCTCCACTGTGGATCATCAAACCATCCACAAACTTCATAGACTTGGCTCGCTGGCCTCTGAGTTTACCGGATACCACCACCTCGCAACCTTTAGCGCCACTCTCCATGATGAAGCGGAGGACACCATAGCAGGCTCTTTGGGGAGAGAAAAGAGCCAATCGGTGGGTCACTGTGTATGTACTGTGCAACTATGAGACATGATACTTCTGCAACATATTGCCTAAAACATCCCTAATCATAAAATTCTGCTCCTGAATTCCAGCTCATGAAAGGCAAGTTTCACCAAAGGTTTTCAAAAGTGAGAGACTACAATTTCAGCATTTTGAGCTCCAGTCTGTTCTATATCTGTTTAGGGATGTAAGCAACTAGTCAACTACCTGACTAGTCACTCCCCCCAGCCCCTTGCTGCCTCTGTATCAGACACACTAAGGGGGGGTTGGAGGGGGGAGCCGAGGGGGAGAGCAGGTGCCAGTGCTGGGGGGAGTCTGCTTAAAATCCGGCTCCCCCCCTCAGCACTGTCTTCATGGGGTGGGGGCAGGGGAGGCAAAGGTGCAGCGGGGGAACAGCACAAGCAGTGACCAAAGCAGTCTCCGCTTGCATGGGATCCTGACTGCTGCACCTTTGAAATGTGCAAGCGCCACAGGCAGCTCTTGTACATTTCAAAGGCAGAGGCGCAGTGGGATAAGCAAGTGCCCCCCTTATCATTGAGCAGTCAATGGAAATACCATTGACTACTTGATTTGCTGATCAATCAAAATTTAACATCTCTATCTGTTTCACCTTAGATGTGATGGGCATATGCACTGCTAAGCACAATGGGCTCTGGTCACTTTTGCATGGACAGCCTATTATGTAACTGAAATACTTTAAAGTAGAAAATGCTGGTTCTCAATCCCTTCTCAGACAAATGCCTCTAAATCATCCAGTGAACAGGACGATCCTGCTATGGTACCCGAGCACAGCCTCATAGAACATGACACTGAGAAGGATGCACATAACAGGATAACATCCTTTTCTGACTCGTGGTTGTATCATCACTGAAGGGATCTTAAACGTGTGACCACAGGCCATTTAATCACAAATCAGCTTCTAGACAGATTTGTTTGAGATTGAAAAACACCATTTTTGTTAGTATTTTCTTTCCCACCATTCCTGGCAAGTGGCTGTACATGTAATCTTTTCACATTTGACATAACCTGCCCCTTTCTTAATTCAGTTAAGATGACAAGTTCTGTATTAAAAAGTATAACTCATTTTATTGCCAATTTTGACAGCCCATATCAAATCATATTGTATTTAATACTTAGTTATCCCATGTGCCATTGAGAGACTTAGGTTTATATACAGAAATGGCAGTTCAAGTAAATGCTCATTAAAATTTATTTGAAGTTGGTGTAGCAGTGTTTTTCTTATTTCAAAAGTAGATTTTTAAAATCTATCAATGTGCATTTACACCAGGTGTGGGCAAGACCGCCTTGGCTGGCCAAATACCCCCATCTACAGGGCAGCTGGGGTGAGAACACATTAAGTCTCTTCCCCCGCCTGGGGTACACGGGAGCCAGAGGTAACCACTGGCTGTTTTAAAATAGTCAGTAGTTCTCTCTAGCCATGTCATGCCCCTGGCAGGGCAGGGCCAGGAGACTTCTCGTGCTCCCTCGCCCACAGACCCGGATTGGCCTCAGGTCAGGGGGAGCGTGCTAAGTCTTCTCCTACCACAGTCTCTAAGAGGAACCACCAGCTGTCTTTAACAGCTGGCAATTCTCTCTAGGCAGTGGGGGTGGGAGGCAGAGACTTCACTTGCTCTCCCACCTCCAGGCCAATAAGGGTCTGTGGGCAGGGAAGCATAATGTCTCCTGGCCCCACCCCTTCCACAAATTTCAGAAGTGGCCTCTTTAAAAATTATTGCCCACCCAGATTTAAATCATTCAAGAAAAAAAATCAGATAGGGGGACGGACGGACGGACAGATAGGGGGACGGACGGACAGACAGATAGGGGGACGGACGGACAGACAGATAGGGGGACGGACGGACAGACAGATAGGGGGACGGACGGACAGACAGATAGGGGGACGGACGGACAGACAGATAGGGGGACGGACGGACAGACAGATAGGGGGACGGACGGACAGACAGATAGGGGGACGGACGGACAGACAGATAGGGGGACGGACGGACAGACAGATAGGGGGACGGACGGACAGACAGATAGGGGGACGGACGGACAGACAGATAGGGGGACGGACGGACAGACAGATAGGGGGACGGACGGACAGACAGATAGGGGGACGGACGGACAGACAGATAGGGGGACGGACGGACAGACAGATAGGGGGACGGACGGACAGACAGATAGGGGGACGGACGGACAGACAGATAGGGGGACGGACGGACAGACAGATAGGGGGACGGACGGACAGACAGATAGGGGGACGGACGGACAGACAGATAGGGGGACGGACGGACAGACAGATAGGGGGACGGACGGACAGACAGATAGGGGGACGGACGGACAGACAGATAGGGGGACGGACGGACAGACAGATAGGGGGACGGACGGACAGACAGATAGGGGGACGGACGGACAGACAGATAGGGGGACGGACGGACAGACAGATAGGGGGACGGACGGACAGACAGATAGGGGGACGGACGGACAGACAGATAGGGGGACGGACGGACAGACAGATAGGGGGACGGACGGACAGACAGATAGGGGGACGGACGGACAGACAGATAGGGGGACGGACGGACAGACAGATAGGGGGACGGACGGACAGACAGATAGGGGGACGGACGGACAGACAGATAGGGGGACGGACGGACAGACGGACACACACACACGATGGTTAAGGAATTCTCCTCAATGCCAGAGCCAAAACTCAGATCAGAATCCAGATTCTGCTTCTAACAGTGTTTATTCCATTACATGTACAGACCATTTTAATACACTTACCGACGCACTGCTAAACCTCCGAGAAGTTTGTATCGCAGGGACTCTGCTTGGGCAATAGCACACAGACCTCTTGTGGCCACCTTCTCAGCGTAGAGCTACAAAATAAGGAATGAGTTCTCAGGAACAGTGTTACAACTGAAGGTTATCAGATATCCATGCATATAGATGACAGGAGCTGCAGCTGCCCTCTGTGCTCCCCCCTCCTCTGCACTCAATAACCCATTTAGTTTCTTGATACTTACAAACCTGCAGGGTCTTCACCCTTAGACATTACAGGCTTTTAACCATTTTGGCACCTCATGTTGAACCGAGCCAGCCTAGTGACACTCCATTGAAAACCAAGGCACCATTAAGGCATGCTTGGTGCAGTCCTACCAAATGGGCCCAGAACATTCTTCCAAGCTTGCCCAAGAATGGACAGTGTTGGTGATGCAGCCAGCAGGGCCTGGCACACTGAGCTGTACTTGGAGGATCATCCTACCAGACATGCCCAGCACTCTGGTTCAACTGAAATCTTAAAGAGATTACAGTCAGCAAGTGAGATTAAAAGCAGTGTGCCCTGAACATAGCACAAAAGTCAATGTGCTACACTTCACCAAGCAATTTCTCCCAGTGAAATTTAATCTAAGCAGTTAGCCTTATGCCATTAGGGAAAAAAGTCAATAATTGTATTAACAGAAGCTACGGCAATCCCTCAAAGCCTATATTCCATCTTCAACAGCAGCAGATTCTTCAGAGGAGCATGCAGGAAACCCTGTGATAGACAACTATGGACTAGTCTACCCAAAGGAAAAAGTTGATTTCTAAACTCCATCAGACAGCAGTACTACAAATGGCCATTTTGAAGTCCTTGAAAACTATTGTTAAATTCTTGTTGCTATACCCTAGGCCTTAAAGGTATCTTGTGCTAACAAGTTCCACAAATTAGTTGCAATAATCAGTAGAAGTCAGTTTTGCATGAAGTAAGAGATAAGAACCATTAGCAATCACTAGCCAGAATCCATTTTAACTCAAAACTGCTACAGGTCATAACAAAGTCCCCCTACTTAGTTTATTAGAAATGCATCTTCTTCAGCAGAGAGAAAAGTGAAAATCTAATCCAGGAGTTGGATCCCACTAACCATGGTACCACAGAAAAGTAAATCTGGCTTATGGGAAGCCCTGAACCTCAGTCCTCCCTGTCCCATCCCCTCACCCCATGGAGCTGGAGAGCTAGATGAGTGGATTTTTTGCTTCTCGTTTGTGTGGTTCCCAACAGATTTTTCTGTGAGTCAGTGACCCCAACTCAAAAAAGAAAACCTTTTGTATTGGACATAAATTAATATTTTTAGTTTACTGTATTTAAAATGAAGTTTGATAAAATAACATGAGGAAGTTAAAACACTGTCTGTTTAATAATTTAAATTACCCTGTTCTCCCTAGATGCAGCACTAGCAAAATAGCTCGGGTGTAATTAATGGTGAGTTTCCATTAGCAACTGGTGGCCTGCAGGAAGGTTTGCATTGAGCCAGATGGTCCATGGGGTGCCCAGGGCAGGAGGGTTAAAATCTTGGCATTCTGCTTCAGAAAGGTTGCCAACCCCTAACCTAATCCCTCATAACCAATACTATTAAACCTTACGTAATGACTACTGGCAACATATGCAGACACACACGCAATGTTTAAATTGTTGTCCTCCTAAAACTATGGCGCGCCCACATCTTGAATACTGCATACAGATATGGTCACCTCATCTCTTAAAAGATATATTGGCATTGGAAAAGGTTCAGAAAGAGCAACAAAAATAATTAGGGGTTTGGAACGGGTCCCATATGAAAAAAGATTAATAAAACAGACTTTTCATCTTAGAAAAGAGGAGACTAAGGAGGGATATGATAGAGGTCTATAAAGTCATGACTGGTGTATAAAAAGTAAAGAAAAGTTATTTTCTTGTTCCCATAATATAAGAACTAGGGGAGGAGGTCACCAAATGAAATTAATAGGTAGCAGGTGTAAAACAAACAAAAGAAAGTTTTTCTTCACGTAGCACAGTGTCAACCTGTGGAACTCCTTGCCAGAGGATATTGTAAAAACTAGGACTTAAACAAGGTTCAAAAAGGACTAGATAAATTCATGAAGGTTAGATCCTGCAATACTTATTACCCTCTGTTTGTCTGGAAATGGGTGACAGGAGAGGGATCATGTGATGATTACCTTTTGCGTTTACTCCCTCTGGGGCATCTGGATTGGCCACTGTTGGCAGACAGGATACTGAGCTAAATGGACCTTTGGCCTGACCCAGTATGGCCATTCTTATGTAAAATAAAGCCTTTTCTAAAATCAATCAAAAGCAATAGTAAGGCTCATTTTAAGGTACCATCAGAGGAGAGAACAATAAAAGAAGAGCCACTTTACCTCAACACTTCCTTCTGGAAAGCCAAACCTCTTCTGTACAACAGCAGTCAGCTCACGGATACGGCGCCCCTTCTCACCAAGAACATTTTGTGTTCTAAATAAATTAAACATGGTTATTGGAATCTGCAGGCAAGAAGGAACACCTATTTGAGGATTTAATTTTTCCTCCATGACAATGCACCAGTTTTACCGTAACAAGTTTAGTTTTAAATGACTGTATAGGAATGACAGTCACTCAAACTATTTCACAACTTAACCTTGTCACAAAGCAGTTTTCAATATTATATGGACATTTATACACCAATTCTTAAGTTTCATTTCTTTCTGGTTACTATCTTTCCAAAGAAATATGATAAGATATAGGCACAAGTGTCACAGCTTTTGGCTACAGATGAACACTGTGAAACAACAAGGAGCACCTTTCAATTACCTGGTAGCAAGGATGATAATTTCAGTCCTTGTTGGAGTAACTCGGACCTCTACTCCAGAGTACCCATCTTCAGCCAGCTCACGAGTCAGAAACTCGTTTAGTTCAGCTTTGAAGATACCATCAGCGACAAACTAAAACAGATACAGAACAAGTTAAACTATGATCAAAGCTGTATTGCTGACAAAGTGCTGGCTGAACAGCTCCAGAATCTGCCTCTCTCTTTCTTCATAGAGTAACAGAGGCAATAACATAACAAGCCTCACTATGCAAGCCTAAATTTGCCTTCAGCCTGCTTTAGTGACTACACAGCTAAGGTTAGTTTAATCCTTAAGCACCAAGCCAGACCAGGACTTCAACCACAAGCAGGTAAAAAAAATGATCTGAAAAACCCATACTACTTTAGTCAGTGTCCATTTTCAGATATGAATTATGTCAGACTAGCCCCAATCTAGTAGTAGCTTTGATGCTTAAATGCAGGCCCTGAAAACACCTGACAGCAAGTACTATACCTGGTCAGAAGTTTTGCAGGACTGGGTCCTAAGGCTGCATCTGTGCTAGTTATGGGCACTAGAGGGTTTCACCCCAAAGTACTACCCCTGGGGCGACTAGGGCCTTAATCGTTCCTCTCTCCACCCCTGCTAAACGCCTCTCCCCAAGTTCACTGGAAAACGTGAGTTTCATTCTGCCAGCTCCAGCGCCTCCTTGCCTGCCCTGCAGTAGGGAGACAGGCGCAATTACTCAGCCCCTGTCCCCAGAGCCGCGCTGCCCCCACGCGGGGAGCCCAGGTGCCCGGCGCTGAGCAGAACCCGGGCCCGTGAACAGAGCAACGAGGCGCCGCTTTCCACCTGGCGCGCGGAGCCCAGCCCCCCCCGCCCGCAGCGCCCGGCCAGACCCCACCAGCCG